TCAACAAAACGTATTGTATTGATTGAATGCGTCGCCGTTGATATGCATTGTCGATATTAAGATTATCTAATAAAAAGTTACTATTTAGTACATGTATCAAGTGCACGATATAAACCAAGCTATAGATGTGTGCATGCAGAATCCATTGTCTGTTGACACCGAACGGCGACAATCGTTGCCATGCGTACGCGTTCCGCGTGCACGTGTATGAGCGCGCCTCTCCGTATCGCCTTGCAGCAGTGTGTGATGTTTGCGCGTAGCAGCAACCGCACGGCAGGAAAACTTCATCGAAACGAGCTCTAAAGACGAAATTTATAAATGTGTCCTGACATATTTTTAAGACGTTCTTGAGTTTATATTTATATACTTATTTGTTTATCACGTGTTTATACTATATACTTTCAGTATTAAGAATAAATGTCAGTCAGAGAATTAAATTTTACTTTACTACATAGCAATACAGGTTTATGAAATTTAATAAATGAATTTTTAAAATACTGAATACAAATTTCTTAATTTAAAAAATTATGTTTTTTGAAATGATGCTTTTTCGTAAATATTTGCTTAAATTAAACGTTGCAGAGTTTTTAAAATAAAATAGAATGTTTAAACACAACTTTTTTAACATAATTTCAATTAAAAAAAATTATTTTTTAGGTATAGTTTATTATATATGTAAGGAGACATTAATTTAAATAAAGCCAATATATCAGCTTTATTCAAATATACGTTGCTTGAAATATAATTAACTCTAAAAAAATATATATTTATTAATATATATATTTTTTTAAACATACCACTTATTATCTTCGAACTTTTGAAATAACTAACTTTAATAAATATTTACTAACATTTCACAAAACGACATACTCACGTGTCCGAATCTCGCGATTTAAAAGAATAAAGAAAATGCTGTTTCTGTCCGCTGACATATTGTCAGTGTATTATCTGTATCATATTTATATTTGTATCTCACATTTCATAGTCATTAATAATATTTTATCAATAGTTATTAATACAAAATATAGTTAATATAAATAATTATTAATAATACAAAATATATGAAGCATAGCCTTTCATATATTTTAGTTCATTAAGTTAAAAAAAATTAAATTTAAAAAAAATAAATATTTTGCAAAATTTGTAAAACTTGTTTACTCGAAATAACGTAATCGTTTTCGTTGAATATAGTCACTGAGAAAAAATGTTGTTAAATTTAATAAATGTATTTAAATAAAACAAAATTAGCTCTATTTACTTTAATAATATTTTAAATATAAAACCTTGTTTATTTTTAGCAAATTAAAACATAAAAGTTACAAAATTATTTCTTGTTCAAAAGTTTGCTTCAATGTAACTTTTATTTCTTATATTGCAACATAACATGTGCTGAAATGTAATAAATACATTGTTTCAATGAATCTGAATTTCTTAATTTTGAAAAAGAAAAGTTTAGTAAACATTTGTTAAAATTAGTCTTTTCAAAATTTTAAAAATAATAAATGGTGTGTTAAAAATGAAATGTAAATTTTTTTGGAGTTTATTATATTTCAAGAAACTTATATTTCAATTAAATATATATATTAATTTTATTTAAATAAAGATTTCCTAAAATATAATAAATGACACTTCAAAATTAATTATTTTGTGTTTAATTAGTGTAACAAATAATATATTTTTTCAACTTTACATTTATTTTTTGTAAAAATCAGAAAGCTTACATTAAAACAAATGTTTGCTAAAACATCATTTCTAAATTTAAGCAATTCGTATTCAGTATTCTACAAATACATTTGCTACATTTAAACAAACTTGCATTGTATTTTAGAAAACCTGAATTTAATTCCAATAAACCGGTCAATAAAATATTTGCTAATTTTAATGCTTCCATTTTCTTAAATTTAATACGATTTTTCATATTTAAAGTAATATTTACTTAAATGAAGTTGATCAAATTTAAGCAAATGAATTTACTATAATTAAACAAATTTTTTTCTCAGTGGATATATATATATATATCCCTTAAGCATTGACACAGATTTACAAAAATATTTCGAAATTTAATAATTACCTGAGAAAGTGTACGAAACGTCTTTCCTTGTTGCCACTTCGTATCTTACGGGCCAAAGAAAGGATAGACGGACGCGATGTGTATACGCTTAGTGTACACTAAGCGTACCGCTTAAACGGTAGTGAAACAGCAATAGGTTTTTTTATTTCATTGGGAGACTATCAAACTGTGTGTGTGTGTGTGTGTGTGTATGTGTGTGTGTGTGTGTGTGTATGTGTTATGTGAAGCACCACATCTTATTTTTTTTATAGTGTGACGTGTGATATCTGTTAGGTTTTTGGATCACGGTATCTCAACCTTAAAATAATAATAACGATGATTCTAGACTTTTCTCTCAGTCAATGTATATGTATATATATATATATATGTTCCGTACGGAACGTGTCAGACGGGCGGCCGGACCCCAGGAGCCGCACGGCTCGCAGTCGCCGGCCTCTCGTCGCGGGTTGCGCCGTCGCCGCGACGCGGCGACGGTGTCAACCGAGCTGTCGCTCGCGGTTAAATTTCGACTAGGCGCCTATATAAGTCGCTACATGTAACGGTTTATAGCCTTTTTGAGTGCGCTTGCACGGTGGGTCGTTGCCTTGAGAGTGTCTATGACACGTTGGCTTACCTCGCGTGAGGTATTTTTGGTAACTCCACGAATCTCCACCTTCTCGATACTACCTGTGATTGAGAGAAAAGTTCGCGAGACTATTACGGGTTATCTCGGAGCTTCTACCGCGGGTGGTTGGATGCTTCCGTGCGATATTTCACACTGCAGAAATCGTGCATCCGTTCGACAGAACTCGGTACTGTCTAGAGAGACCTGTAATCAGAGTCGCGCAACCACGTAAAGGTTAGGTTGGCGACGCAATGTTTAGACTAAAACCATAAGCGAGAACTTTAATATGCTAGGGGCCGGTTTATCAATACTCAGTCAAGTTAAATTTGACTATTAGTTAAGTGCTAACTATAAGTTATGTGTTTATCAATGCAAGATAACTAACAGCTATACATTAACTGTTGGTCATAGTGATTGTTAAAGTAACTGGCAGAATTTTTGTCTGCTAAATATAACTGACAGGTAACCACAGACTTTAGCGGTCGGTATATAGAAGTCTCAGCAGTTAACGTAACCTAACTTTTGTGTAGATATTACACGCTAAACGACGTGAGCACACACTCACACTGTAATATTATTATTTTGTAATTAGTTATTATTCTCAATATGAATTTAAACGATTTCATTGACAATGATGAGGAAATCGTTGAATTTATGGAATGGGAAAGAAGACCACACATAGTACAAAATAGAATCAATCACTTTGACAAATGGGACGAATTGGATTTTTTTCGAAGATTTCATTTAAAGAAACAAACAGTTTTGATCATTTTAGAGCAAATAGAAAACATCATTGAGACTCCTACGGATAGGTATCTATACATAATTTGGTATTTACTATTAATTTAAAATATCAACTAACAAATATTTATTTCAGAAATCTTGCTATTAGACCAATCGACAAGCTTCTATTAACTTTGAGATTCTATGCATTAGGCACAATGTTAATAGCAACTGGAGATTTTGCGGGTGTTAGCAAGAGTTCTGCTTGCAATATAGTCAGACACGTGTCAATTGCGATTGCACAGCTAGCTCCTCAATATATTAAAATGTCATCTAATGCTGATGAAATCAGTAATGCACGAATAAAATTTTATAATAGAGCAAGAGTTCCACGAATAATTGGTGCTATCGATTGCACACATGTTAGGATCCAATCTCCTAGTAAGTTATTATTAAATGAACCTTTTTTCACAAATACTTTCTTAATCTTTTTCATTAACTTTTTAAATATTTTTTAAAGGTGGAATAAATGCAGAATTATTCAGGAATAGGAAAGGTTATTTTTCTTTGAATGTACAAACAGTGTCTTCGGCTGACCTTAAAATATTAGATATTGTAGCACGCTGGCCAAGATCAGTTCATGACCAAACAATATTTAATAACTCGAGAGTAAAAGAACGACTTGAAAACAACGAGTTTGGTAATAGTTTATTGGTTGGAGACAGTGGTTATACGAATACAATGTTTGTGATTACCCCGCTACTTAATACTCACAATGACATCGAAGAACTATATAATGAGGCAATAATCCGTACACGTAACCCTGTAGAACGACAATATGGTGTATGGAAAAGACGTTTCCCCATCTTGGCTTTAGGACTGCGGTTAAAGTTACAAACGAGTATGGCTATTGTTGTCGCTACAGCAATTTTGCATAATATTGCGTATGAAAGAAATGAAGAATTACCATCACAAGATGCTGATTTATGTATAGACCAACATATTTTGAACGAAGATTGGGACGCACAACCGTTACAGCCAGATGATCGACACATAAATGCAAGAGCACAATTAATTGCTGATTATTTTCCAAATTTATTATAATTATATTTTCTTTCGTTAAGTGGACTTTTTTGTACGATTTTGGAAGGAAAAATTAATAAAAAAATTTCATTTAATATTAATTTATATCACATATTTGTTATATTTAACATATGTCTACATGTTTACATATTATCCAAAACACAAAAGAAAAAAAATTAACACAATTAAAAGAACAATTAAAACTTTTATATTAAAAAAAAAAAAAA